GTCTTTTGAAAACATCTAATGGCAATCGAAAATATGTAAAGTTGTAATAAACATTTTTATTTAGTTATCAAAAAAAAACATTAATTTTATGAAAATTGTATTTAATAAATTATAATCGTAAATATTTCTGGTACTCCCTTTTATACATTTAGGCCACCGTAAAGAAAACTATCAATCATTAAACTGAAGCTTTGATTAACAAATCATTTGCAAAATCTGCTCATTATTATCTAATCAACTATTATTGAAAAATCATTTTAAAATATATTTAAATGTTGTAAATGCCCTCTAAATAGTCTTTACTCAAAGTTTTCATGGAGAATTTGGATAGAGCATGTGTATGTAGAATATGTAAAAAATTAAAAATAAGGTTATGTAATTAATTTATTTTGTTTAATATTATTTTATATCCAAAATTAAATCTCTGTTTATAAACTAAAATTTACACAAAATATTTTAAGTTTTAAAAAATAATCCTTTATATAATTAGAAATATATTTTCAGTAAACAAACATAAACAAGTTGATATATATATATATATATATATATATATCTACAGTAAAGATATATCTTTACTGTAGATATATTTATATTATTTAAAAGTAAATGTTGTGAACAAACGCGAATCAACTTGAAAAAAAAAGAGAACAAAAACGAATTGAGGTAAATACCCGTTTAGAGTTTATATATTATTGTGTGAATGAAATAATTTTACAATTCTTTAGATCTATATTTATAGTAGCTTCAAAATTTGATTTTCTTTTTTTCTATAGCAATACATAATTATCTATAAAAAATAAAGTTTTATAAACTGAAAAGGCATACCGAGACCCCCGCACCCCAGATGTCAATCTTGATAGTGCCTACGACGCCCCTATTCGGCTGTACGTCCGGTCTAACAAGTAACAAATACTGAACTTTCACTGGTGCACAGAGATTTAAGGCATATCCAAATGTAATAGTAAACAACGATGACTCGAACAATTTAACTAGAGGAAGTATTCTCTAAAAATTTGAAGTTGTCTAGTCACTTCAGTATACAGATATTTATAATGTCACTCCTCTTGTCGGGATAAACACTCCTGATTTCTATGCGGATATTCCTTTTGTGGATAAGATCACCCTAATAGAGATACTAATAAGATTTTCCAAATGTATGATAGAACCAATGATTTGAATACTCACATGGCTCAATACAAACAGCAGATGTTTACTATAGCTATCTAGAAAGAACTATGGGAAGCCACTATGTACAAAGGTTTCGACTCAGCTTTGATCAGATGCGCCCTACAATGGTAGATCAATTTTCCTTACGGGTTGATACATTCCTTCGTAGCCGACCAGTTCGTATAAAAATTCGCGCGCAACAGAAACATAGAAAAGATGGCCAGCGATCATTACTAGATCCTACAGCACCTAAATTTCCCATTGCGTAGCAACATAGCAGCATGCTTCAACCAAAAAAGGTACTGGATGTAATGCCTCTACAGCCAATCTCCACCTTCAAAAGAGGTATGCTGGTTAAATGTGTGTCACTTGCTTATATAACCGATATATTGGGCCATGCAATAAGTGTGTTACTGTAACTTGCTCTTGATGGGCTTTTAATAAAAGCTAAAGTTTGACAAAAAAAAACAATATTATACACGTGTATAAATGTTATATTTTATCAAATAGTCTTTCATCCAATCCAACAGCAGCAAAGTAGGTGCGGATGAACAACACTTGCTTAACCTCTGTCGACTTGACCAAAGCTTCTCTGTCTACCCAAATTCCCATGGCTACCGTCAAGAACACGGTTCGCGTCGCTGCTGCTCAGATGACATCTGTCAATGATCTGATGGCTAATTTCAACACCTGCTCTCGTCTTGTTCAAGTAAACCAATCCTCCTCCCTATCTCTCTAAAATTCATTTCCTGATTAAATAAAACCCCTTCTCCACTTGGCTGTTTGCTTATATGATTTTTTATGATTAGAGTTAAGTCATTTGATCGATTATGTTACCAGTTGACTTATCAAGTTTCGGTTATACATTTGATTATACAATCTTTTGTGCATATGAAGTAGATAAAGAGTAGAATCTAATGTATCAGAAGCTAACTTGTAGTGCAGGGTATGATTTGAAATTCTAGTTAATATCTAACTCTAGGATTGACTTCTTATGTCTTTGACAAAAGGAAGCAGCATCGGCAGGTGCAAAGCTGATTTGCTTCCCTGAGAACTTCTCCTATATGGGAGAGAAATCAGGTGACAGTGTGAAAATCGCTGAACCATTAAACGGGCCAGTGATGCAACGGTATTGCTCTCTCGCCAGGTAAGCTACGATACGATGTTCTTAGATTAAGGTACTACATTGAGAAAGTTCCTTGTTTTTAATAGCCTTTCTAACATGTATTTTTGCAGGGATTCAAATATATGGTTGTCTCTTGGAGGCTACCAAGAAAGATTTGATGATACCCATTTGTGTAATACACATGTTGTGATTGATAATACTGGGATGATCCAAACCACTTATCAGAAAATGCACTTGTAACTATATTTTACCATCCTTGGAATTTTAAAACGAGATTTTTAATTTCTCAAACTGTTTCAGTTGTATTTTGTAAAATCAGGTTTGATGTTGATGTTCCTGGTGGAAGCTCATACAAAGAAAGCAGCTTTACGGTTCCAGGTTATAAAACTCTCTATCTTGTGATCAATAACACTTTAAGAACTGATGTTATTCCAGATGAATCATTAATCCTGTTTTTTCTCAGGGACGAATGTTGTTTCCGTAGACAGTCCTGTTGGGCGCTTAGGCCTTACTGTATGCTACGATTTGAGGTTTCCTAGTATTTATCAGCAACTGAGATTCGACCAGAAAGCTCAGGTAAACTTTTATGTAATTCAGTTAATTATGATAACTTCTGCTACTGTTTCATATCTTTGTTGGGTTTTGTGTAGGTAGTAGAATCACACTAGTTAAAACAAAACAACAATGTGATAAAACCTACAGCACACAGAGTTTGAGTATATGAATAAACTGTCTTTGTGTAACTTAAAATCCTTTATAGGTTATACTTGTACCGGCTGCTTTCACCACGGTCACTGGGGAGGCACACTGGGAGATTCTTCTCCGAGCCCGAGCGGTTGAGACACAATGTTATGTATGTGGTTGGATTACACTCTTTCTCTATTTCTTTGATCTTATTGATCTATGTTACAATTGCCTAGGTAATAGCTGCTGCTCAAGCTGGAAAACATAATGAGAAAAGAGAAAGTTATGGAGACACACTGATCATTGATCCGTGGGGGTCTGTGGTTGGAAGATTACCTGGTGAGAATCTTCGTTCTTATTTTGTTACAACTCTTTCTGATATCTTCTGGATGCAATTTGATACTTTTGTTGGTGCTTGCAGATCGTTTTTCGACTGGCATTACTGTGGCAGATATTGATTTTTCACTGCTTGAGTCAGTGAGAACTAAAATGCCAATTGAAAAGGTAAGAGAGAAGAAAAATAACTTTGTTTTTGTTGACCAAATGGGAACAAAAGAAGTTTAATATTTCCATGTTCTTTGGTTTTTTGCAGCAACGGGTCTCCATAGATCTCTGAAGAACCCTGTTAGGCCTCCTACAGAAGAGACATTCTGTGGAAGGAAGCAAGATCAAGAAGAGCTTCCGAGTGACAAGGCTATGAATGCTGTCTAGTAACACAAAATTTGTTTGAGCTCGACATACATAAGTATAGTGAGTAACATTGATGGAGAATTAAGTTTGAGATAATTGGCTTCAATGAGGAAATGTTTAGTTGGTATAACTGCGAAGGAAATCAAGTTCCATTTCTGGATTGGGAAAAATGCAAATAGAGTTTGAGAATGTCCAAAAAAAATATTCAAACTTGCAACTAATTGTTCTGCCACAAGAAGATTCATTATCTGCTAATTTCCATGAATTACAAGATCTATCGTCCTAGGTGGTAAGACTGGATGATAATAATCATGACTGCTGATGTTGAAGTAGTGAACACTCGCACATTTAAAATCAACTAATGTTTCTTCACCAACAAATGAAAAGTTTTTGTTAGATCATAGCTGTTCCTTTTATTTGTTGAACAAGAAACATTTGATCTTTGTTTTTCTTTTTAGAGCATAATTTTTTTAAGTTTGTTAGAGCATAATTTTCTTTCCTCTTATTTGTTGGACAAGAAACATTAGTTGATTTGAAAAGTTTTTATAAAGCATTTTTTTTTCCTCTTGTTTGTTGGTGAAGAAACATTCAATTTAAAAAAGGTTTCGTTGGAGCACATTTTTGAAATCACGAGTAAGCGAAATATGTCTTCCACTGAACGCACATCCTCTTCACTCCTCTCCATCTTTCTTGCCACACTTCTCACCCCTTCCTCCGCCACAAACCGCCACGTCATCACTTTCCGATCCCCTGGCCTCTACCCGGAGGGACTAACCTGGGATCCATCGGGCCACCACTTCCTAGTCGGCTCTCTCCACAGCCGCAAAATCCACTCCATCTCCCCCGCCGGCGTCGTACAAACAATAATCTCCGATCCTTATCTACCGGAAAACGCCACAATCCTAGGCCTCGCCGTTGACTCGAATAACCGCCGTCTCCTCGCGGGAATCCATTGCGCGCCGCCTCTCCCTCCATGCAGTGCCCTAGCCGCCTACGATCTCCGTACCGGAAGTCGTCGAATCTTCCTCTCTCCTCTACCGTCTCTCCCCGGAGACGACACCGTCGCCGATATCGCGAATGACGTGGCGGTCGATCACAAGGGCAACGCTTACGTCACCAACTCGGCCAGAAACTTCATATGGAAAGTGGACCGCGACGGCGTGGCCTCGATCTTCTCCACGTCGCCGTTGTTCAACTCGCATCCCGTGGCGGCAGACGCGGACGCGAGTTTCCGCGATTGCGGTTTGAACGGGATCGTGTACAACTGTGAAGGTTACCTCTTGGTGGTGCAGAGCAACACGGGGAAGATGTTTAAGGTTGATGAAGAGAGTGGGACCGCGAGGGTTGTGTTGATGAATAGAGATTTGGTCGCGGCGGATGGGATGGCGGCGAGGAGGAGGAGAGACGGGGGTGTTGTGGTGGTGTCGCGGGAGAAGGTTTGGTTTCTTGAGAGCCAAGATAGTTGGGGTGAAGGAAGGGTTTATGATGAAGTTGAACTTGACGTGGAGCGGTTCGCGACGGCGGTGACGGTGACGGTGGAGGGGGAGGATAGGGTGTATGTGTTGTATGGGAGAGTGATGGAGGGTATAATGGGAAGTTATAAAGATGGAGAAGTGAGGGAGTGGTTTGAGATAGAAGAGGTTTTGTCGGAGAGAGAAGGTGGGGATGATGATAAGGTTTGGGTTTATGTGTTGGTCGGATTTGGTTTCGGTTACTTTTGTTTTTGGAGGTTTCAGATGAAGAAGCTTATCACTAACATGGACAAGAAGATCACTTAAAAGCTTATTTCCTCTTTTTAGTTACAGATTTTTTCACTTTGTTTTTATTTGTAAGAGGAATCATATAATGTAGTTGTTACTTTTTGGTCATTTGATGGAAATGGAAGCTACTGATTCTCACATTGTGTAGCATAAACGAGTAAGATAGCTTTTATTGCAACAAGTTTGCTTCCACCACATCCAAAGGCTTTGTTGTTGGAGAGGTGGAGGAAGAAGGAGAAAAATAGTTTAGTGTTTAAGTCTTTCTCTATGTTTCCAGACTTGGCTCAGACTCTCTAAAGCTTTTCTTCTGTTCTCCTTTCTCCCTACTCGAGCTTCTGCATCTTCACCATGGAGAAAGATGATAATTCCAGGCATTAGATACCAGCATCGTGTTTGTTAAGGAAATGTATTTGGAATCAAGGACTTGAGGCTTCTGGGGTTGCTTAATGTTTGCTGCAAGTAAAGGCTGGCACAAGAGTCTTCAGAGCTCTTGTGCAGAAACTTTAAAAACTGATGCTTACACAGACTCATTACCAATCTTCTTCTATTAGACCACTGAAACAGCAGAACTGTAGGAGCAATGAGACTATAATCATAATATTGTCAAACAGTCCACAATGTGGAAGTCATGAACAAATGTGGCTTCACATTCATATATGCAGAAATTTTAAGAAGCTACAAACAAAAAGGTAATAAATTACAACAAATTATTGATGATTCCATTAAACTTAGTGATATCACTAGTTGGAAGCACATAAGACATGATTTTTTGGGATTCATTGTTGTCCCCTGAAAAAATGATCCCTAATAACTCAACCTCACCTAAACTACCTCGGACCATTAGCATAAAGAGCACACATCTCTCTCCCAAAAAAGAAAAAAAACTAATTCGATCAAATTAGGTGCTTTGAAGATTGTATGAACCTGAGGAGAACCTACACTCGTGGCTATAATGAGCTTTGTTTAAACATGTATGCTGATTTCACCTGCAATTAGATTACAGATTTCTAGCAAACAGAAAATCGGACTTTCCCTTCAACATCAACATTTTCTCTGAAACTGCCAGTAGCAACAAGATTCTTCTTCTCCTTCTTCAACGATGCTGCTTCTCTCTAGAAGTCATTTTGGGGTTTCTGCTTTTGAATATATTTTGAATCATTTTGGTAGTTTTTGAACATTTATATGTTTGTTTGCGGATTGGCTTACCCATGACTGTGGTATCCTGCTATTCGTGTGTTTTTGGAGACCTCTTTGTTATACAATAGTTTGTGACATGTTGTGACGTGTTAATGTCTGTGATATCTTTTGGAAGATACAAAAACAAAGAAGATCCCATATGATTTTCTCACGGTTTAGATTGAGTAGTTTCTTTTTAATGTAAACTAGATTTTGACCCGCGCTTCAAAAGCGCGGGTTTTTGTTAGATTATAAACAAATTTTGATATGATTTAGTATTTTAGAAATGATGTACATTATTATGCTACAAATCTTAATATATAAAATAGATTTTTTTAAAAAATTATGTAATTTATAAATTAGTTTATTTGAGATTTTATATGTAAGTTTTTAATGTAACTCTCTCTAGGTCTTGACATTTTATCCGGATCGAAAAACACGACCAAACCGACCCGAAAATATAGGTTCGGCTAGGATCCATGATAAAGTACTTACTGGCTATCTTTAAAGACCCGCAGGAATCGATTCTAGTATGGANCCATGATAAAGTACTTACTGGCTATCTTTAAAGACCCGCAGGAATCGATTCTAGTATGGATCATAACCGAGACCCGATCGGGTACATAAAAGCACTCAATATTTTTTTTTATTATATATGTTTGGATATTTCATATATGTTTTTGGTATTATGTATATTCTTTTAAGTTTTAGTTACAGTTTTAGGTTTCGGGTTCTAAAATATATATATATATATATATATATATATATTTTTTTTTTTGTTTTGGATATCCAAATCAAATTTTTGGGTATATTTTGTTTTTCGAGTCAAGTTAGGTAAAATTCAAGGTTTTCAGATATTTGAATATATTTTGAGTATTTATTTATGGTTTGAAGTATTTTTCAAATATTTTCGGGTTTATTGGTATTTTGAGTCCTAACTATCCAAGCCTACCCGCTACATATCTGGAAATTAGAAATTACCACACTGGAAATACATAGAAATTAGATTATTTATGAAAATATTGAAATTATAAGTTACAATCTTTCACGAGTCTAGATATCTTTTTAAACAAAATTAATGTTTTAAAATAGTTTCTCTAGAATAGTAAATCATTAATATTATAACTTGTTTGTATAAATATCCGCCAACATTAGAATACTATGATAATAAATCGGTTCTTGTATTATTACAATATACTATGTTACATATAGGTTTACTCTAAAAATAATAATATGTTTGGTTTTAAACATATTTATCGTGAATGGAGATGTTCAATATATTTTATACTCTCTATTTATCAAACATCAGCTATGAAAATTAATCAATGGAAATGATAGAGGATACTGTTGCACAGTTGGTGGCTCAAGCAAATGATATATTTTTTTTTTAATGTGTGAAATCAGTCACGTATTATGAAATTATATGGTATAAGGTTATAATAATGTATTGTGGAGAAATAAAAATATTGACCGATAAGAGTAATGTATAATAAATAAGAATATTGACTAATTTATTGTTAGAGAAATATAAGGTAAGTTATATGATATAATGTTATTGTACAATATTGTTAGAGAAATATAAGGANTTATAATAATGTATTGTGGAGAAATAAAAATATTGACCGATAAGAGTAATGTATAATAAATAAGAATATTGACTAATTTATTGTTAGAGAAATATAAGGTAAGTTATATGATATAATGTTATTGTACAATATTGTTAGAGAAATATAAGGAAAGATAAAAAAAAATGTTAGTATAATGAAAGGGTCCAAACAACTTTTTAAAGTAGATTTATTTAGACTCCTTCTCTTTTAATAGTATAGATGCCGAGACGTTAATTATCTGAGTTTGATGGATTAAGTTACATGGGAACAGAAGAAACATTGGCCTATGGATCACTTTGAAAAATGAATTTTTTTTTGGTAAAATTGAAAAATAACACTTAATAACATGTATTTAATTAATTACTAACTTAACTAATAAAAATATCTATATGAGTTTAAGATGCCATAATGTCAAATATAGGCCTTAATTGAGAAAGTGTAATAATAAGATACTTAATTTTTAAAACAATTTATTAATCTTAGCGCAGCCAAAGAACATAACGCTATTTTCAACTTATCATTTTTTTATACTATGATCACTTTTAGAATTTGAATATTTCATAGTGACAAAGCTTTCATCTCATTTTTTCTCACCAATCATTATAATTATTATTTTTTCCCAAATTACTTTATTATTTAGTTTTATTTGCTTGAATAGTTCTATATGGTTTGCCTAATCGTGAATAATGATCCTAATCTTATATATTGATAGAAAGATGTTAGTTTTGATTGTATTTGTTGAAAATAATTTTTCAAAATTGAAATTGATAAAATCTTATATGCCATCTTATCAACTGGATTTTTTTCCAAATATTGATTTTCTAAGTCTAATCAATGATTTATAGAAAAAAAAAAGAAAAATGTTTAAAAGTATTATTTCGTTTGTTGTTTTTTAATAACAATGATATTTGGAAGACATTTTCTATGAATGAATATATATATATACACAATTTGTGCGCGCATAACTCTGCATGGGAAGAGTGCAAGAACCACAAGACCAGTTCTTATTCATGTCATAACCGAGAAAGGTCGTGATTATCCTTAAGCAGAGAGAGAGCGCTGATGACGAATACCATAATAAATGGACTTATGTGGATAACGTTTTTCTTTATTACAAATCTCTTTCTCTCCACCGCTCACAAAATCCGATCTCTGCTTTCTAGCCTTTGGCTTTCTTTTTCTTCCCTCTCTTATTTTGCATCTCAGTCTTTCTATTATGTCCAACAAATCAACCTTATAAAGTATGGATTTCTGTTTGCAGTTTGCAGTGATGTGTTGAAGCACTCTATAACATTGCGAATATAGTTGATGAACAAAGGTCGTTTTCCATTCAACACCTTATTAACAACGTCAAAGTTCGGAAGCTGGGGTTTGAAGATCGCAATACGGTTGGAGATTTTGTTCGACAGAACAGCTTATTAGATGAAGCTGAGTGCTCTTATACACGGGCTAAAGGGACATGTTCTCATAAGAATGTGAGGACAGAGCTGAACTTGTAGGAGCTGATGGTCCAACCCATTGTGGAGCTTTTGATGTTACGTTTCCGTTATCCTAACATGATAGTGATGGCTTGTCTTCTTATTTCCATTTCCCAAGAGGTAATGATCTTGGCGTTGCCTCTACAAAACAAAGGTGTTCCAATTGAGGTGTAGCTAAGCATGTTGCTCACATATCACTCTCGCTTCCTTAATCATTTTAGACAAAAAACAAATATCTCTTTTGAGTGTATTCAAGGTTGGCAAAGGTAAGATTCTAAGAGAAGGAGAGCGAGTTGCTTTCTTGGGGTATGGCTCAGCGGTTCAGAGCTGTTTAGAAGCAGCTGTAATGCTCCAAGAACATGGACAAAACATAACAGTAGCAGATGCACGGTTCTGCAAGCCATTGGACAATGCTTTTGTTTTAATTTTTAAAAAAATTCATAAACTAGGTATACGCATAATTAAAAGACAAGATAAAATTGAATTTTAATATATATTTTCTAGGCATAATTGTTCCTAAGAATGCGAAGACAACTCTATTATGTGATGCCCAAGGAATCACATTGGAGGGTTTCTCTGCCTCTTAGTTTTTAAAAATTTCATCCGCTTGGCCCAAGGGCTAAACTAAAAGCAAGAAACTGAACCACATGCGATCCAAACCCTCCAATGGAACTTTCTTCAACTGTTTGATCAGTAACTCGTGAAACTTAGCTAAACTGTGAAATATTTTCATTTAATTAGTTATATATCTTAGAGGCAGTTATGTTGAAATCAATCTATATCTTAATGTTTAAATATGATATTTTATTAGTTTTGTTTTTCTTTCATTTTCCATAATTTTCTTAATTGTTGGTCAAGAAACATTAGTTGATTTGAAAGTTTTTGTTAGAGAATTTCTTTTTTGGGTTTTCATAGTTGTTGGTCAAGAAACATTTGATATAAAAAGGTTTCGTTGGAGCATATAAAAGGAAACATTATGTAGTGTTGTCATTTGGTTATGTAGTGAAATGGAAGCTATTGATTCTCATACTGTGTAGCATAAAGAGTAATATGAGGCAGCTTTTAGCCTTTAACTGCAACAAGTTTGCTTCCACCACAGGTCCAAGGGCTTGTTATTCCGTGTCTAAACTCTTGCTCTTTTTCTCTAAAGCCTAAACTCTTTGCTCTTTGTCTCTAAAGCTTTCTTCTCTTCTCCTTTCTCCCGCCGCTTCACCATGAAGAAAGTTGATCCTTCCCTGACTCGAGCCGTTAGATACATCATCGTGGTTTTTTCTGGGGTTGCTTAAAGTAAAGAAAGGCAAAAGAGTCTTCAGAGCTCTTGTGCACAAACTAAGAAAACTGATGGTTACAGTCTTACAGAACAATGAAACAGTGGAACTGCAGGAGCAGTGAGCTATAATCATAATTCTGTCAAACAATCCAAAGAGTGAGGAAGTTGTGGACAAACATGAAAGATTCTCTGCACAAGTTTATGGCTACACATTCATTCATGCAGAAATCATATTTGCTTCCCAAACTTCATCACTACAATCGCAATATAGAGAAATTCGAAGAAGATACACAGCAGAAAGGCCACAAGTTTCAACAAATCTTTAATGGTTACATTAAATTTAGTGAATCTCACTACTTGGACGCATATATAACACATGAACTTCTGGGATTCATAGTCGTCTCCTTATCAAACGATCCCTAATAACTCAACCTCAACTAACTACCTCGGGTCTTTAGCAGAGAGAGCACACTTGTGGCTGCTATAATGAGCTTCGTTTAAACATTAATGTTGACTTCATCTGAATTAGATTACAGATTTCTAGCAAACAGAAGATCACAGACTTTCTCTTCAACATCAACATTCTCCCGGAAACGGCCAGTAGCCAAAAGACTCTTCTTCTCCTTCTTCAACACCGCTACTTCACTCTGGAAGTCACTGCTTTTCTCAAGACCAGACAAGAGAACATTGTATGTCCCCAGCGAAGGCATGATCTCACGTTCTCTCATCTCTTCCAATATCTTCATTGCTTTCTCTGGACTCCCTGCTGAGATATATACATCCATCAGCGCAGTGTAAGCAGCTACGCCCTTTTGATCATCCGGAAGCGAGTCGAAAACCTCAGCAGCTAAGCGAGGTCTTCTGCCAAACCCAAGCCTGTGGATCAACGTTGCTCCTTGGTACACACCAAGTGAGTGATGGGCTTTCACCATCTCCTTGACGGCTTTGATAACTTTAGTAAGCTCGTTTTCTCTCAGAAAGTAACCAACTAACGCAACATACGCTGACTTCTCGAGATGAATCCCCATCTCCGAGCTGTAATCAAGAGCTAACCAGGCCCCCTCCGTTCTACAACGGTCACAGTTTGTTTCAACAATTTCTGAAACAACAAAGGCATCCAACTTTACGTCTCTATCTTTCATCTGATTAAGTATATAATCAACTGCAACAAGACTCTGCTTCATCAAAAGAACAGAGCTGATAATTCTACTATCATCTGAACTTTCCATGTCATCAACGGTGTCGTTGGAGCACAAAGATTCAGCAGTAATATGCGAATTGACTTCCCTTAACAAATAATCACTTTCCCCTGCAGCTTTCAGAGTCTCTGAAGCCTCCACAAACACAGGGTAACGAAGCACAATCCCATTTTCTTTCATGTATACAAGAATCCGAGCCATGAAAGACGTTTCGCCCAACTTACAAGCTTTCCCTATCAGAATATTACAAGCTGCTTTATCAGGCTGCACACCAATCTCTTGCATTTTAAAGAAAATGTCTAATGCTTCCTCACATTTTCCTGCAAATCAAATCAAGAAACTAAGGTATCATCTTCACAGCTACATAATCCAGATAATATATGCACATACTACTAACTCAACATTAACATAAACTACACTCCCTCTGGTTCAATTTAGAATTTATTAATTTTATATACTTTTCTATTTTTTCTTTGGTTAAAATATGATAAGGTATATAGATAATTATTTTTTTTATTTTAAAATTATGTAATTAAATATTTTCTTAATTTGTGTATAAAAACATAAAACCACAAATAAAATGAAACCAAGGGAGTATGCATTAAGTAAAAAAACTATCAAATTTCACTTGGGAATTTAAACAAACAGTTGGTGTGCATAGACTAAAACTCACCAGCACCCACAAGAAACTCCATCAAAACCGTATAAGTGTAACAATTCGGAGAAACCCTAAACCTTAACATCTCCCTATACACCTCCGTCGCTTCATCCACCCTCCCACCATCGAAAAGCACCTTCATGTAAGCCGTGTACGACACCACCGTAGGCTCACACCCCTTCTCCCTCATCTCCTTCCACAGCCTCACCGCTTCGTCAACATCCCCCGAGCTAGAAACCCAGTGAATCAGCGAAGTATACGTCACGGTATCGATCACGACACCTTTCTCCTTCATGAGGTGGAAGACAGAGTACATGGACTGGATCCGACCGGCTTCGCCGAAGATGTCGAGCATGGTGGTGTAAGTGAAGTGGTCGTGTTTGAAGCCTTTGATGTCGGAGGCCCAGTTGAAGAAGAGCCAGGCTTTTTGCATGGGAGGGTGGGATTTCAAGACGCGGTTGATTATGTGGGAGTCCCATTTGATTGGGAGGTGGGGGAGGTGGGAGAGGGCGGAGTCCCAGGTGGAGTATTTGAGGAGGTTGTAGATGGTGGATACGGTGTCTCTTGTGTACAAGACTCTGGGGGTCTCTTGTGGGGTTTGTGTTTTCGCGAGTTTTGGTTTTTGGAAGAAGCGATTGGTGGAGGAGGGGTTTCTGGGATGTCTTGGTCTGGGGGGAGAGTGGAGTAGCTTTACGGAGATTTGGTGACGGTGGATTTGGATTGGGGGTTTGCGGAAAATGGTGGAGAAGCGCATGAATTTGGATCATCCAAATTAATTTGAGAACAAAGTCTCTCTACTCGAAGGAGTACGGACAGTCACTTTTGAATACTGTCTTTGACTTTTTAGTTTCTGTTCTTCTGTCTTCTGTATGACGTTGTTCATTTGGGCTTGATATAAACTCTTGGTTGGGCTTTATTCTTCTCTCCCCCCTCCCACAAGAGAATATGGAACTTCAATTTTTTTTACTATAAATCTACTCTATTAAAATATAGTCATTCTTTTTAGAGTTATTTAGGTGAATAACCAAAGAAAAAAAGTTAATTAGGTATCTCTATAATATTATTTGAGAAGTCACTTTCTTAGGTGTCGCGCTCACGTTAATTCTCACGCTGGTTGATTACTATGATACCCCTAATTAATTAAAAATATATTTAAATATTATTATTTCCTTTTTAAAATCTTCCAAATAACAATATAAATTAAAAAAGGAAATCTTTATAAAATTTACAAAACTATTTAAAACGAAAAAATAAGTATATATATAATATGATTTCATAAAAAAAGAAAGTTTACAAAATAGTAATATTTAACTTAAATATATTTTTAAATAACATAAATTATACTTTTAAGTAATAAAATACTTTATATCGATATCTTCCTAGTTGAAAAAAATATTTGTATATAATGTGTTTTCATTAAAAAGTTCATACAAATAATCTTGATATTAGAAAAGAAATATTGTTTCTTTAAAAAGTAATTTAAACAATAAAATATATATTTTCAAATTAATTATTTTTTGATATATCTATCTATTTTATTAGATGATTACATAAAATAATTAAGTAACATAAACTGATATATGTTTAATTGACAAAAAATTATAATTAGTATTATTGAAATATTTTTTTGTATCTTTATTTGATTATAATATCTTACAATTACAGCAAAAAATATAAATTATATTTTACTTATATAATATAATTTCTCAAAAACAATCTATTTTTACTGCATATATTAATAGATGTTAATAACAAAACTAAAAATAAATTTAATAATAAACATCTTTTGATCAAATAATTACAAGGTAGATATATTATAATTAATAGTTAAAATTATCTGTTTTCTTAATAACTCTTTTGATGCTTAATTTTATGTTTTTATGTTTGTGGAATTTAATATAACCATAATCTAATACTTAAAGCAAATCAGAATTCCTTATTTTAAAATTCTTTAAGAAAATATCAGTTTATCATCCAATCAATTTATGGCATAAATTATTTAGAATTTATAAAATATTTTAATTCTTGTAAATATTGATATGTGTTCATAAGCTTTTAAAAATTTATTATTACTTATGTAATTTAGAATCAGACACTTTAATTTTTATTTATTTTTGTTCTAAGCACAAAAAATCTTAAAATACATAATCTTACTAAGATATACTTATATTTCGTAGATAACAACCAACATAAATGTAAATAAAATAATTAATCTAAAATTTAAGATATTTAGAATAAAAAAGATTATAGTTGAATTCATAGAAATAGAAAGAATCCAATATATATATATATATATCCAAATGATAAAACTGACTAAATATAATATATATAAAATTATAATTACTAAAATAATATAATATCATTAATACAAATTATATAAAAACTATAAATTAATATAAAATTTAAAGTAAATATCAACCAACTATTATAATATATTTATTTCTGAAATATTTAAGCCCGTGCATGAGCACAGGAAAATCACCTAGTATGGTAATGTATAGGAAGTGCAAATATCGGAAAAGGTGTTTTGACGTCTGCATCCCTAGATAGACATGTCACTTTCTGAGCTGTAGCTAGTAGAGAGATACAATAATTACTCTATAAAACTTTACCAAACGTTATCTAAACATCTATACAACTGTAATTTTTTTTCTGCAGCAAAAACTATTCCCAACTCTTCATCTCTCTTCCCAAATTTCTTTCACTCATCTCCAGCAAAATCATTTTGATTTTTTTCTCTGAATATACAGTAACGCTAATCTATAACCGAAGCATACATGCCTGTCCACCAAATCTGGCCGTGAACCATTGCTCAGGGGAGGTGGTCCTTTATTGACTCCTCTGCTTTCTTCTCTTCTCCTCTCCCAACTATCTAAATCAGATATGCCGCCGTATTGTGATGGCGTATTGTGATCTGTTTCTAGAAATTATTCAAAACTCACTGTTTTCTTAAATCAATCACCTCCACTTATGTTTCTAGAAACGACTGCGAGGACACACCGCCTCCGCTCATATCCAAGTCCAACGAGCTTGCTTTGTAGTTCTTATACAGAGCCGGGATCGGTGAGTTTAATCAGTTCATTAGACTTTTTAAATCAATTTACTAGACTTTTTTAGTGATAGGGTATAACTTTGTTAAAGTGGGTGAATGTTAATATATCCGGACATGTCACTTTTAAACCGTATCATATTACATATTACACTAACTAGATTCTTTCACCGCGCTACGCGCGGTTTATATATTTTAAATTATTTCAATTATATAATGTTTTCATTAGTTTTGTTTTATTTTCTATTTAATGTTCTTTTTCTTTTTCATGTTTTATTTGTCCAATATTAACTTAATAAATTATTATCTTCGTAAATGTTTTTGGATGTTAATTTTGTAAATTTTCTTAATTTTTCTTCAATAATATTATTGATGTTTATTTTGATAGTGTTACAAAATTTAGAACTAATAAACAGGAAAATATCTACAACATTAAAGTAGATTATGATAGTTTGAATTTTATTTTTGTTGTTGGGAATTTCAATTTAATTTTAGTCTTTTATACTCATGTGTGATTTTAATAAAGCTTCAAAATGGTTTGATTTTTATTATTTTGTTCTTCTTAAGCTGCAAATAACATCAATAAAGGTGTTATAGTAAATTTTTGTTTCAAATACTGAAGCGAGTAATAATTTCACATATTTCATTGTAAACTGCATTTTAAATTTAATCATATTTTCATATGTAAATTATGGCATCAAATTGGGGATATTTTTGTTTACTTGACCAGTTTAACTTAATATTTTAATTGTTTTGTGCTCTGTTTATTAATATAAAATGGGGAATTTAATTTTAATTTTTTTCTACTATTACATGGAATTTTGACTATTGTAAAATGTTTTATTATGAGAGACTGAAAATAATAGTACTCATCACTACAAACTGAGTAACATATTTTAGGCTATTTTTATTATATTTTGTAAATTTAATAATATTACTTGTGTGTATGAATTTCATCCTAGTTTAAATTCATCATCAGTAAATGCTTTGGAACAACAATTATTGGATAAAGCTATTTAAAGTATTATAAGTTTAAGAATTTTTTTGAAGTAGATTGTTGAATAATAGTTTTAGAACTGAGACCATTTTAATTAGTTTCATGGTGCAATATTGAGTTTAATAAATGATAATAATTTGAAGAAATAAATTTAGACAATACAAAAAAGAAAGGAATAGGACGCCGCAAATGAAACATTGAACGTTGTTTTTTTATCAATTCTGAAAAGAAAAATGTATTTGTTATGATATTTTGACAAAGTTTAAAACGTACATTTATATGTACATTAATTTGAAAACCTTATTTTTATTTAAGAAATTGTCGTAACTGAGATACTTATGCAACATAAAAAATGAAAAGAACCAAAAAAAGAAGCATTAATAATTTATGCAAACTACATTCTTTCTCTCTGAAGCTAATGGTAAATCCAAACGATGGAGATAAACACGACTTGTGCCATGACACAACATCTGTTCTTCTTCCTTAGTTCTTGTATTTGTTGTTTTTTTCAAGTCCAAAGTGTAATGGGATTTATGAGACACTACGAACCAAAACGACATCAATATGACTTTTAACGTAAATGTAATGAAATGTACCAAACAGTAGTGAAAGGAGCGGAGAGTACTGTAACACCTATGAATTTTATAATATCAAATGAAATTCTAAAATAAACTAATAAGATCTCACACTTTTAAGATTGAAATTCATAAAATGTCATATCCAATAAATTAAACTAACTCAAAATACTTAGAAAACTACTAAGTCTCAGGCTACAACTGATTTATAAACTCTAAGGGGATGTATTGAATTGAGGATTTTTGAATGTTTGAGTTTGTTTTAAAATCCATTGTTATTCAACTAAAGATTTCTATTTTTTTTTCTCAATTGAATATGATATTTTTTAAAAATCACCATAAATCACTTGCAATTCAGTGTTATTCAGTTAACAATTTATTAAAATCAAATCAAATACACTGTATTATAATTCAAAGACAAACAATCTAAAAAGAAAAAAAACTATGAAAAGGATTTGAAGTAAACTTTTTATCAATTTTAGTTAGAACTATCGTGTTAACAAAACTCACTTGTATACCTGTTATTAAGCAAGACTCAATTAATATTAAAAATTGATTAAAGAAAACAAGGACCTGCTACAACTGCACCACCGTCTACCCCCAAAACCTGTATTTACACCAGGAAATTTTCCTCTCGACACCTCTCAGTCTCGACGACGTCTCTCCACTTTTTTCTCAAACCACGACGGTGACAGTAAAGCTTCAATATCAGGATTCTATATAGTATATACAATACACTGAGCTGTATAGTAGACTCAGATTTGTTATTAATAAGATGTAGCTTCGTTTTAGATTATGTTTTTATCACTTGAATTGAGGAGAAAAATGTTACTGGCAAGATTAGGGACAGAGCTCCAGCAGCCACGACCGTGATTGGTGATGTGGTTTAGAAGCTTCTCATTTTCTTCAGGAAACCAAATCCTCTTTCTCAGCTTTTACAGGACATTATTTACCACTTGTGGAGAAAACGCAACAGTCCCATCTTCAGGCAAATCTCTTCTGAAGCTGCTTTCTTTGCTATCACTGATCGCTCTATGCGTGATCACCTCCTGTCCATTCCAGCCTCCTCATCTTCCTCTCCATCGCTCCTGCATCGCTTCTTCTCCTTCCCTTACCAGCCGCCTTGAAGCTCCTTCTTGTCTTTGTTTATGTTTGATGTTCGTGTTCTTGTCTCTTCTTAGTTTTTCTTCTTCCTCCCTCTTCTTGATGTAATAAGTGGCTTGCCACAATCTTGTAAACTGAAAATGGTAATCAATCTTAACATTTTTACTAAAAAAAACAGTAAGAATGTCTCTATTATTACCTTCTTTAGCAGCTGGTTTCTTGGTGGATTTCTTTGTCTCTTCTTGAACTTTCTTAGTCCTTGGCTTAGTGCTTCTTTCCTGAACTTTCTTCTGAGACTTGTTGTCCTTGTTTTCTGGAAGAGCTCTTGGATTGCTTTACATCATCCTGTAAAACTAAACTTTGCTTCCAGTTCATCATGTTGGTTCAAAGAAAAATGAAAAAGGAATAAGATAATATTTACTCAACCAAAGATCAGCGTAGATAGTGAAGAAGGACAAACAAACCTAAAAAGAGTATGGTACTCATCAGGTCTTGAGGGTAATAAAATATCTCTGGAGAATAAATTTAACTCATCATATCTTCAACCTCTCGCTTTACCGCTCCGTCTCCAACCACTTTTCTTTCTTTTTCTTTTCCTCAACCAGTTAATATGCTGCCAAAAATAAAAAAGGTTAGACAAATTTATTGGGTAAGGTTGGAAGTCAAACAGAGAAGCTCTTTGTAGCTTGCCTCATGTATCCCATGACCTTGATAGACAACATCATACACCCGATTATCAAACAGCCGGAGCTCCTCTAGCAGCACTTATTCATCTTCAAATTAGTTGCTTCGACTACATCGATACAAACATGTAAACAATAATAAGAATCCCCACCGAAATATAGCTATGGTAGCAATAACAATTGGGCCGTATCTATCACTCATTAACTTCAAGTCGAGGGTTAAAAAGAGGGACAAATGGCTGCAAGCGTTCAACAATTCTGAAAAAGTAACTACCGTTGATGCGTTTATCTTCCAATTTATTGGAGAGCTCATGCATACACTCCTTACAACCTAAAGAAAAAACACAAACTGTTGACTATAAAACATTAGAGTTAGGCTTACACACATGTCAACACGGATTGTAACCATAACACCATGATTGGCCTGAGTTTCATCGTTGTAGGTGGTCTTGATACCATAAACATCACCAAAAATGTCTACAGAAAACAATGGTAACAAAGGGTTAATACGTTTGTGAAAAGTTTAAGCCAAACATAGTTAAATAATTAGAGAAGATTTAGTGCCTAACACATTCCCGATAACTCCATTTCTGTATTTGCCAAAGCCATAATTTCGAAATCTGAACTACTCTGTCGGGATAATCTCTGTCGTGTCCGTAAGCTCCGGCTGATCGTTGAAGCGAATGGTAATAGGTGAGTATAAGCACCCCTAGCAATCTTGATCTCAAAAAAAAAGATCCAATCTTTAAACCAATCCCCCAAATAAGAAGGAAACTTAATCCTAAAATCAAAAAATCCTTACCAGGATGAGTTCGAAGAGGGTAGCTTGATTGATCTTCATGAACTAAAAATCCCAAGCCTTAATGTCATCTTCGGAGGAAGCACCACAATCCACGACCTCTGTCTTGGAAGCAGTAGCATCCACGTACTTTTTGCAGTTCTCAATCACCTTCGCGAGGATCTTGCTCGTGACGCTGGGAAGAGGGATTCTGTTGTCGACGCAGTCATCTTCAACCATGTGCTCTATGGTCTGATACTCGAGAGCCACCCCCTCATCATCGGAGCTCTTCAACACGATCTTCTTCATCGACATCTTTGAGAGAGATGAGAGAAGCGATGAAGGTCAGGAAGGGAAGCGTCACGTTTGTGGAGCAAAATGTTACGTTTTATCACTTGGGTCTCGATAAATCACAGAAGCCCGGTAGCAACACGAAGCCCAACCGAGAATCCACTCAACAGATTACGTGGCAAAAAGAGATGCTCTGATTGGTCAATTAAATTATCCTAGGTGGACAGTCTAAAAGCTCTAGAATAAGGGCTTTTAATAGTGTTAGATACATCCGGATATAATGCTTTTAAACCGGATAATAATTTTTCTATATTAAGAATAACATTAAAACATTCGGATATAATTATTTTAAACTGGATAATACTTATTCTATATTAAGAATAACATTAAAACATCCAAATATAATTCTTTTAAACCGGATGAACTCAGGGGGAGGTGTAGAGGAAGAAGAAGACATGGTTCGTTGACGAGATACAAATCTGATGATAGGGAGACGAGTGTAGTTTGGGGAGTTGGATATCTATTACTCTTTTCAATCTTCCTTTAAATTTTCTGTTTTCTGAACATCAAATGTTGATTAACCATTTGTTTAAAATTAAATAATATTAACAACTTACGGAACAAACCATTTTGTGGCCAGTTTGGTTTCATACACGTTTTTACTTCAGATATTAACAAGTAATAACTTCCACGTCTTCATCAATTAGTTTCTGACACTCTCTGTTTGAATTAAGTAATATCTCTAGGTATTTAAGCAAGTGTACAGTTTTTTAAGGTTAGTTTCGTCTCTTCATAATTTATGTATAGTCAAACACCTAAATACGAAAAGATGATAGTTAGATAGCTAATATTAATTTGTTTTGTAGTTATAGAATGCAATTACTCTTCTTTTTATCTACTAGTACAAGTTGTCATTTAAATTTGCATCCTTTCTAGAGTGTTACAAATAATACAAGTCATATAGTTGATTGAACCGCATTACTTAAATTAAACCGGCAGTTATTTATGGAATAGAGTTTTGGGCTTACTTTTGTTTTTATGACAAATTATATAGTTTGGGTTTTGGGCTTAGTATTAAAGAAAAACTCTAAAAAAACATTGAATAAATGTTCTACATTAATGGATCAAAAAATCAATTATTATTTTAAAGGTCCAAAAGTATTTAATATTTTAACAAAAAAAAATTATATATTATTAATCATTTATTTAAATCATGTACTTTAAAACATGTTAATATTTTTTATATTTTAAATAACAATCACTCTATCATGATAAATTTCAATGGTAACTTTTATAATAGTTTATTTTTTTATTTTTCTTAAATAATTTACTGATTTAAAAAAAATAAATGTAAATCAAAACTAAAAACCAAATCTAAAAATTAAAATCCAAAACCAAAAGCTGAAAACGCTTGTTATAATTTTTACTTTTGTTTTGTTTATTTACACAAAATAAACTATTGCATTTTTTAAAAATAAAAAATTCTCATCTTTTCAGTTTTAAATTAGATGTTCGATTCTTTGGAATTTGTTTGTTGGTAATTATGAGTTGAAACTAACTCAGCGGATCTAAAAGTTAAAAACCCAAACCAAAAGCTGAAAATCAAAACTATAAACTTAAAAATTAAAAACCAAAAACCAAAATCTAAAACCAAATCTAAAAATAAAAACTGAAACTAAAAACTAATGCAAAGCAATCATCACCACAAATTTTGGATTACTGGTTTTATACCAAAACATACTTTAAATAAAGACAAAATCTAATTATATAAACTTTTAATCAAAAAAAATTTCCGCGATTTTAAGCGCGGGTCAAAATCTAATTAGAGTTTAAAATAGAAAACCTTTGAATTTCACTATATTATAATATAAAATAAGTTTAATCTATAAATATTATGAGATCTTATATTAATTTTTATTAATTTTAATTAAAAATGTTCATCGCTTATTCTATTTTCTACTCTGAACACACACAAAATTGGCTAACCCACGACCATAAAGAGTCAAGTTTGATTTTTATACCAAAAAGGCTTTTTGTGTGTTTAGAATGAACAGAGGTTCCTTAGTAATCTGACTCAAGAGAAATAAACCATAATTTACAAATGCACTATAACATATAAATAAGTTTATAAGTAAAAGTTATATATATATATATATATATATATATATATATATATAATTTTCAGTTTAAAACTTGTAATATGTAATTTTATTCATAGGAACATCAAGAGAAATTACCTATTACAAGTTTTAGACTGAAAATTTTATCAAACATACATATTATATTCCAGGTACACACACATTATTCAAGGACAGAGATAATATTAACTTCTTTGACGTGGATTTTTTTACTTACTCGCACGTTCAAATTCGAATACAAACAAATAGTTAACATCCTTAAAATCTTTGAGCACATAGATCCAAATCAAGGGCATCTCTCGTGCTGGCCAGGACCACCATAGAAGAAATTAACCCCCCAGGAAGTTCCACCATCTCCTGCTTTAATGTTGTAACAGTTATCATGACCAGTTGTGGGGTAAACTCCTTGTGGTTCTCTCAGAGTATTGGTTTCATCAATTGTCATAAGATTCCTGAAATAGCTCGCTTTCTTATAACCTTCATCTGCAAAATGCCCACTTCCCATGTCCGTGCCCGTGTGTTTCCCATCGGTCTCCTTGTTAACGCTTTCACCTCCCCACTGAACTATCGTAGCTCCATTTCCTAGAGAATTAAATAACTGGCCAGGCCAGTAGCTGGCAAGCTCTTCACCTACCTTAGGGCATGATTATTGCAAGTTTCTTGTGATTGTTTCTTAATACACATATATGTGTATGTATATCTCTATAATATTATTTGAAAAGTCACTTTCTTAGGTGTCGCTCTCACGTTAACTCTCACAATGATTGATTACTTAGATACCCTTAATGAATTTTTAGATTTTAAGATTATTTTTTTATTTAGTTTCCTTTTTACCTTTTTCCAAATAATATATATAATAAAAAGGAAATATTTATAAACTTTGTAAAAAAATTAAAAATGAATATATATATGTATATAATATGACTTTATTAAAAAGGAAAGTTCACAAAATAGTAATACCCCCATTAATATATATCTCTATAATATTATTTGAGAAGTCAGTTTCCTACGTGTCGCGCTCACGTTAACTCTCACGATGGTTGATTACATAGATACCCTTAATGATTTGTTAAATTTTAAGATTATTATTTTTTATTTAGTTTTTTTTACATTTTTCCAAATAACATATACAATAAAAAGGAAATATTTCTAAAATTTTAAAACAAATTTTAAAAACGAAATATATGTATATAATATGACTTTATTTTAAAATAACATAAAATATATTTTCAAAATAATAAAAATATATATGTTCATGAACATCCAAAAACTTCTCAGTTGCACTTTATTTTCTAATATTTTTTAGAAATCAACATATAATTTGATAAGTATTATGAAAATACATGTATATTTAAGCGATAACTAAAACTAATTTGATTTGACTTAACTAAAATAAATAGTAAATAAATATTATGAAAATACATGTATATTTAAGCTATAAATAAAACTAATTTGATTTGACTTAACTAAAATAAAAAGTAATTATTCTTCAATTTTAATTTACAAATATATGATATTCAATATACTCACAAAATGAATGACTCGGCTAATCTAATTTATATTCAAAATTAATCAACTAACTACAATAAGAACATATAATTTTATAATAATAATAATAATAATATTAATAATCTATTTAGTTTTATACATATAAACTAGAGGTTGACCCAAAGCATATTAAAAATAAAAAGAAAATATTAACCAATTACAATTTAATTCTTTTTAGAATTTATATATATGCATGCGACTTCAATATATTATCATTATATTCATTTATGTAATTTTGAATTAAACACTTCAGCTTATTATTTATTTCATTTTAAGCAAAAAATATATATATATATATATATATATATTAAGTTATACATAATTTAACTATAATATATTTACATATCTAAGAATATATTTACATATATAAAGACAATAACCATCCGAAATGAAAATAAGAAAATTAATCAAAGTTTTATTATATTTAGAATAAAAAATATTATAGCTGAATTCAAAAAATAAATATTATCTAATATACCAAATTGATNCATATGTATAATTAGAATAATATAATATTTATTAATATAAATTATACATATAAATTGATTAAAAACTAAAACTAAATACCAATCAATTATTTATTTCATTTAAGCACAATATATATTAAGTTATACACAATTTAACTATCATATATTTACATATCTAAGAATATAGTTACATAAAGACAATAACCAACCGAAATGAAAAAAAAGAAATTAATCAAAGTTTTATTATATTTAGAATAAAAGATATTATAGCTGAATTCAAAAAATAGATATTATCCAATATACCAAATTGATAACCAAACCAACTATTGATCCGAAAAATAATTACACCGACAATAATATATCCAAAGTCATATGTATAATTAGAATAATATAATACTTATTAATATAAATTATACATATTAATTGATTCAAAACTAAAACTAAATACCAATCAATTATTATAAAATTTTACTTTTATGAATATTCATACCCGTACACATATATATGTGTATTAAGAAACAATCACAAGAAACTTGCAATAATCATGCCCTTACGCCACCAGTTTTCGTCGTCCTGGACATCCTCGATCCACAATTTATTTTGGGTTGAGATGCAAATAAAGTATAACATAGGGCTAGGGAACATCTCAATTATATATCATATCGTTAATAAAATGAGAAAAATAAAAATATAAAGAAGAGTTAAAAATTAAAAAAAAAAAGCAGAAAAAAGCAGAGGAGATTCAAACTTCCTCATTAACCAATTCCGCTTCAGCTTCGGACTGGCAGGTCCGACCTCCCCAAAAACTCATTAGGCAGAGCCAAGAGCAATTAAATATAAACTGAACATTTTATCAAACATGTTATTAACTCACAACAGTGTTACAAAAAGAAAATTAACTTACAACAAAATGGATTTTTTCAAATTCAAATACAGACATGTAAAATATTCAAAAGCTTTGAGAACACATCCAAAATCAAGGGCATTTAGCATTCAAGCCAGGACCACCATAGAAGAAATTAAACCCCCAGGAAGTTCCATTACGTCCTGCCTTAATGCTGTAACAGTTATCATTGGTAGTGATGGGAAAAACTCCTTGTGGTTCTCTCAAAGTATTGGTTTTATCAACTGTCATAAGATTCCTGAAATAGCTCGCTTTTCTATAACCTTCATTTGCAAAATGTCCACTTCCCATGTCGGTGCTTGTGTGTTTCCCACCGGTCTTCTCGTTTACGATTTCACCTCCCCAGTCAATGTTCGTAGCTTCCTTTCCTAGAGAACTGAATAACTTAGCAGGCCAGTAGCCTACAAGCTCTTTGTTGATCTTTAGCCACCAGTAATCGCCGTCCTAATTAAATATAATCGACAATCCATTTTTGGGTTGAGATGCAGATATAATAACTCAATTATATGACAATGTCAATAAAATAAGAAACATAAAATGTAGTATCTGTTAGTACGTAGTACCTTCCATATAATTACGAGGACCGCGATTTGAATACCGTCGTATTTTGAGACGCTTTTGAAGGCTCCACCTACAATGATACGATTGCTCGTTTGAACGAAACCTGGGCAGTCGGTGTTGTAGCACCCTGTCTTTTGGTGTCCATCGACCTATATCATTTTTTTCTTTTAACAAAATTGTCTATTTTAAATTTAATAACAGTCTAGTTCAAATCCTAAATACCATATCTATATTATTAAAAGAGAAGTACCCATATAAAATACCCCTTAGTTTTCACTTTTATTTACAATATCATGCCACTGAAATTATTAATTACTCTACCTTATAGGATTCTTTGTCTTTTCACTTTAATTAATGTATTTCCAAAATCAAATATTAACTAAAAAATATTATGGCAACACTAATTAATGAAAATAATTATTTTCATATATACCTTTCGTAATTAAATAAATAAATTCTATAGAAATTGTTTTACTAATTTAATATACATAATAATTAATTCCAATATTAATTAACCTACCTTTTAGGATTTTTTTCTTATTAATTATCTACATATCTTTAAATAGTTAATGAACAATATTGTTTTCAAAGATATATAATTATATTTTTATTATTTATAAGTAATAACTAAAATAAAAGTCACAAAAAGAAACATTTATATAATATAATACATAGATTAATATAAACATATTATGTTATGTATATTTTTATATAAATAATAGTTCAAGGTAAATTCAGAATAATAAAGGTTAAAAAAGTAGAAATATATAGGACCATATATTTTAAATAGTAGATACAACAATTTAGTTATACATTATCATAAAATTTTGATCCATAAAAATAAAATAAAAACATTTTTGCACATATACGGGCCATATTTTTAAAATAAGTATGACACAATGATAGTTTATAAGATAAAATAGAATTACTCAATATAAACTATAAAATTGTGTGTTTAAAATGTCGTTTTAAACAATTATTTAAACGGGTAAATTTAGAAATATATATTATCACTTATAAAATATAAAAAACAAACACTTGCACGGATCAAACAAAAAAATTTTCAGTATTCTTCTGTCAAAATTAAACCCATAAGTAATCTGTAACCAATTAATTGATACTTCATTTTTATTTTAAAAATTCAATCCAAATGTTTTATCTATTAAAAATTTTATTTGAACATCAGGCTTTTTCTTAGAAATGTTATAAGTAATTTATCATTTTTTTTTAATACTATGTTAACTCTTACTTCTCAAGATTTGATGTATCTTTAACTGAAAAAATATTTTTAATATATCGTCTACATGTTATATTTGTTTGTATGATACCCAATATTTTTGATACAATAAATTGTCAACACACACAAAAAAAACTTAATGTAATACAATTAATTTTTACAAAAATTTCATCTAATATAAAAATTAGAAAAATAAAATTAATACCCGTGCGGTCGCACGGGTCAAGCTCTAGTCTCTATTATTAAAAGAGAAGTACCCACTAAAAAATACCCCTAAATTTTCCAACTTATTTACACTCATATGCCACTGAAAATTTAATTAAACTTCCTATTTAAATGCTTGTATTTTTCAGTTATATTAATTAAACATCCTATTTAAATGCTTGTCTTTTTCAGTTATATTAATGAGTTATTTAATCAACCAAAAAATACCTGCATCACTAACATGTCTTTTTCACGTATATTAATGATAACTCATTTACTGCATCACTAACATCACTGATATATTACATGCATCTAAAATGTGTATCAATAAAACGTGCAT